AAAGTTTTTAAGGTGTCCATTTTGTTTTTACATGGTGTACATAAATTTATGATTCTTAAAAATAATTTACTTGGTGTCAAATTAACTCATAAGTAAAGACTCATACAAACTAAAGTTATTAAATTAACCTAAAAATATTTTTTCCAGGTCAAAATGTTTTCCCTTTAATCCTCATCTTAATTCTTGTTCTACATTATGGTTCTTATTACTTAAAAATATACTAATTCTAAATAATAATTACTTCTACTCCAGGAAATATGTTGAACATTTTACCACTATTGTTTCCTTATAGCCAACAAACAGGTACATCAAGGTCCATACCTTTACCAAACAATTGTACTAATATGTTTAAAATGGTTGTTCATCTGTCTGTATGTATAAAAAAAAAACTAAATATTGGTTACATGGCAAATTCTCACAACAAATAATGGATTTGTTTATAAACGTTATTCTCAGGTATCAATGGAAAGATAAAGGGTTGGAAAGTCAAAGTTAGTAAGATTAAAATGGCTAAATATTTCCAAAATAAGAAAATAAAAATGTTTAAGCAAGTTTGTTAAAGGTCTTAATAGATTTATAAAAAATGCAGGGCTGTTGTTGTTGTTATAATAATTACTGTTACAGCTCAAAAAATCAAATTCCTTTTCAGTCTACTTCTCTGACTTGTATTACATACCCAGTCACAGTCTTGGATTAAATCAATACAGATGAGTATTGCAATTACTTGTATCTACTAAAAAAATGTCCTTTTATGTTTCTCTGTATTATACAAGTGTTACTTTTGGTGTTTTCCTTTACCCATAACAAAATAATTTGGCTCATAAAAGCTAGGTTTTACCTCCCAAAACCAAATGGAACAGTCCAAAACAAAACAATTTCATTCTGAGTTTGATCTAAATCCAGATCAGTTCATTTCCTGTCTACAGGTATGTTATATGACCCACCCCACCCGTCACTTCACCCATAATAAACAAAAATAGCCACATAAAAACTACACCCTTATTCTTCTTTTCTTTTTTTCTTTCTTTTTCTTTTTTCTTTCTTTCTTTTTCTTTTTTTTTTTTTTAATGTCTTCAGGCTTTGGAGACAGACCTGAGGGAATTATTTTAAATCCCTTTCTTGGACTGTGCCTACTTGATCTATAATATTAAATCTTTTCCATTCATTATTTATTTAAAAATGTTTACATTTTTGTTCAAGTTTTATCTACATATTTCACAGTAAGCAAAGGTACCAGACCGGTGCAGCTAACCTTCTTGGATGTTTAAAACCTGTACTTAGGGTTCTATACTAATCTGGTCAAAGGGGTTTAAGGCACAGTTTTGTTCTTTGCCTTCCAAGGTCAACTAAGTCCCAGGGGAATATGGGTCATCTCTTAAAATGTCCTGTAACCATGGTGAGTTACCTGTCCTCTTGTTCAGGGAGGTCATGGAGACCGCACTAGAGGGACTCAGGCCAGTGTCCAGTCTATAAGGAGGAAGGTCAGCACAGGAAAACATTTCTTCCATGCTTCCAAGCAAAGCCAGGGTCGAGCAGGCCCTCCTGACTTATCCTCACATAGATGTAACTAGTAAAAGGAAAACCAAAGGAGCCAGGGGCTCCTCCCAAAGCCCGAGTGACCCCTGAGGACCACAGCCTCAAATGACCTTCACAATAAATAAAACAAAAGCCTGAGTTAATTTGGGCCAACTGTACACTCTTAAACACCCAAAAGGAAAGTATAACCAAAAATTAAAATAATCAGTATATTTCTTTTAAAGTCCATAAAACTGTGCTTCCTAGACATTAGACTTAAAAGTTAACATAAAATATTATTTAAAAATTCCCATCAAAATTTCGTACCACCTGCAGCCAAGGGGGACAGTTCTACTATTGTTATTATCAAAATTAAATAATAACTAAATTTCTTTTCTCTCCCTGCCTATAGAAGGCACCTGAGAGGAAACTCACACTATGATTCTAGCCATTCTAACAGCTATCAAAGTGCCCACCTGATAACAAATCCTGAGTCCAGCTGTGACACCGAGAAAAAAAAAAATGGCCCAAGGAATGGATGTTCTTGGAAGGCCCTATCAAGAAGCTATCAAGGAGCTCTAATAAACTTTCATGTAGACATTTATTTTTTTACTGGTTCCCTACCTAAATATGTGCCTAACGACTCTTGTTTTACTTCTTCCTGTCTCCTTCCAGACACCAGTCAAGGAATAACAGTTATAATGCTTTGGGGATTTTTTAGATAGGCCCCCTGAAGAGATACCCCTGTCGCCACAGCCTTCACCCCTGTTCAGCACGGAAGAAGCCAGAATGACTAGACATCCAAATTCCCAATTGGCAACTAGGGTTACTGCTCCAGAAAAAGGAGTTAGGGTAGAAACTGAAAAGAATAATGACAAGTTTATTCCTAGATGAGGACTGGACTGGCTAGATCATCTTCCCATCCCTTCCTTACACTATGCTTAATTAACTGTTGTCTCCAAAATTCTTACAGAATCTCCTGACTGAGCAGCCTGTATAACTGCCAAAACCTGTACCTGAGACCAAATTAAGACAATGCTTCTGCTCCATGCCACCTGAGAACTTTTCAGAAACCAAAAATTCCCTGAGACAAACAGCTTGCCGGCCCTCTGCAGAGAAGCTGTGTCACCTTCACTGACCTAATCCTCTCTTCAGTCTGCTGAGGGATTGTCAAAGTAAGCTCTGATTGATGCCTGGACCAGTCATTGATAGGGATTCCCTTATTGATACAAAAACTGTGACTTCGAAGGACTTTTATGTCCCATACCCATGCCTTGATCTGGTTTTTCCTCACTGTGCCTGTATCTTATTTCCACCAAAGCAATGTGGCCCTCTTTCCATCCTACCCCCTGCCCTCTCCATTTTTATATGACCCAGGGTCTGGAATGATAGAATATGTGAATTGCAGAAGAGCCATAAGCCTCATTAGGGAAAGCCATAAATCCCTTAAAGTGTCTAACTGGTCCTAAATTGGCAGCCTGGCCTTGCTCAAGGCTTATCAACTGGTCACTCCCTGAACTGAAAGAGAGAGAGAGAGACTGTTTGTGGAGCCCACCTGTCTTCTTTAGTGATATGACTCACCTGCCTGTCTGAGAAAAGAGACCCTCAAGGACACCAAACCCGGGCGCTAATTCAGCTCCCCACAAAGTATAGTTGTGTCTCACAACTTTTGTATAAAGCCCCCAGTTTCCTCTCTCTAGTTGTAGAAGATTGGTTCCTGCGGTCAGCCTCTACCTCTCGCTGTATGTTCTTTGAATAAAGGAAGATATAATCCTTGCCCATTGTGGGTCTGGCTCTGTTTTCTTGTCTCCTCCTCCTCTATCTTTCCTTTTGTTCTCCAAAAATCTAACAATACAGAGAGCTGAAAAAGTGTGTGTGTGTGTGTGTGTGTATACATACGTGCTGTGTGTATGTATATGTGTGTGTGTTTCAGACTTCCTTATTACATACAATGTAGTGACTGATGTGAGTCTGATGGAAAAAAATGGGAAAAATCAAGGAAAACAGGGATTTTAATTTTTCTCTGTCTGTCTCTGTCAAAGTTCAGCTGATAAGTTTGTGGTTGGCAGGCTGACACAATGAGCTAGATCTACTTGCCTTCTGTCCTAATGAAACTTCCTCAATTCTGTTTATCTCAGATAGGGACTTTCCACACTCTTTATTTTCTCCCTCAAGAACTAGACAAAACAGGCTGGAGACATGGCTCAGTGATTAAGAGCACTGGCTGCTCTTTCAGAGGACCCAGGTGCAATTCCCATAACCCACATGGCGGCTAACAACCGTCCATACCTCCTGTTCCAGGGAACCTGACGCCCTCTTCTGACTTCTGCAGGCATTGCATGACATGGGCGCACCTACGCACATGCAGGCAATACATTCACACACATAAAATAAAAATAAGACAAAACATTTTAAAAAGAACTAGACAAACTGCATGCTTTTTATAACATTGCAGTTAGCCAAGCTATATGTAATTTGCCTATGCTGTAATCCATTACCAAAGGTATAAAATATATGAACATCTACTCTTCGGGTCCAAACTTTAGGACTTAAGTTCTCTGGATCAAGCTGCAGCCTAAATAAAACCTGCTTCCTGAACCATCCTGGTGTCTTGTCTCATCTTTCTTGCAACAACTATACTTGCTAGATTTTAAAGTTGGATTGCATTTCAAAGGAAACCACCTGAAAACTCACAAATAAGTACTTCATAAGCAATAATACTACCGTCCCAAGTCTAGGGGTATAGCTCAGTGCTAAAGTTCTTGTCTTACATGCATAAGGCCCTGGGAGAGGGAAAGAGAGGGAGGAAAGAATGGACGGATGCCTCTAATCTTAATTGTTTTTATGTTTTTTTGTTTTTTAAAGGCTACTAGTGAAGGAAGATTTTTCAAAATGGAAATACTTATCAAGCAGAACACATATTATTCCCTAAATTCTCATTCAGAGAAAAATCCTAAATCCTATTTCTTAATTTAAAATTTTTAATGAATTAGTCAATTTGATTCCCAGGCCACAGTGAACAGGCAATATTAGAAGTGTAGTGACTATGCTAGTCATCTTTCCGTTACTGTTACAAAATACCTGAGATCATTAGCTTAAAAAGAGGAAAGGTTTGCTTTGGTTCACAGTTTGGGGTCATCCCGCTCTGTTGATTTTGAGCCTGTGGTAGAGCAGTACATCATGGCAGGAGCACATAATGGACCAAAGCACTTCACCTCATGGTAACCAAGAAGCAAAAGAGAGCAAGAAACTAACATCCCAGAGTTCCCTTCCAGGGCACACCCTGAGTTACACATACATGGCCTGACTTATATGAGACCCCTTCGCCTAAAGGTTCTATCACCTCCAAAAAGTGCTAAGGGGGGACCAAGTAGTTAACAAATGGGACTGGGGGGATAGTCAAGGTTCAGTTGTAGCAGTGGCATTGGTCAGCTGAAGTTCAGTCACAAGACTCCAATGTCAAGTCCTAGCTAGGAGATACTCACCAAAAACTGTCCTGGCTGGGACAGATTCTCGATTTAACCAAAAGGACACCTGGGAAAGAATGACTGTCATGATGCAGGGAAGGTAGGTCTGGATGACAAAGTACCCGATCTTCCTCTTCAGGTGGAAATGCGCAGTCATGATGGTGTATTCACCTGCAGACATGCAAAGTGGTGCTATCAGTTCCCTCCATTAGAGGCCAGGACGCCTGCTCTCCCCAGAGGGCCTCACAGCACCCCTCCTCTTCTGCCTTCAAGCTGGGCTAGTACTTACTTGTATTATTTGGTTAGGGAGAGAGTGGAAGAAGATGCCTGGCTTTCTTAGCCTTTCCTAAGCTATCTTATGAGCCCCAGGCCTTGCTGGTGGATGTTTTCCAAAGAAAATCAGATTTGTGTTTCACTAACCTTCAGTCAGTCTATGCCATACTCCCCAGCCCCCTCAACACTTTGCAGGTCACTATACTCAGGATCTGAGGATTTAGTCTTTGCCGAGGGAACTCAGCTCAGAGCCTTGTTGTGGATGGAGAGTAACTTCCTATTTCCCAGCTATGGAGCTCTGGGGAGGTGGGACGGCCACTGTCTTCTAAGGGTTGGTGCTTGTCTAGCTTCAGGTACAGGGTGAGAAGCAGCTGCTCGGGCATCAGATCCTGGAAGCTCATTTTCTCCTCCACCCAGCAGAGAGACTAGCACCCTCTGTTCTGTGAAACTGTGGATGTTTCCTGGGCGATGTCCCAGTTCCTTCTCTGGATTTGCCTGGCTGTGTGGGAGGAGAGTAGGGATATCCCATTCTTTGCTGAGAATGATGCTGTCCTGGTAGTTAACTGGTAAGGAGCTGAGGTGGGCAGGGAATGAGGCCTATTGAACAAGCATGTGTCTCCCTAGAGATGGGGGAATGATTTGAGAAGTAAAGGCTGTTAAGATGTGTCTGGTTCTGGACGCTTCCATGAATGAATGGCATCAGGTGGGTGCTGTAGCTTTGGAGCTGTACTACTGGGCCACTATGGCCATGGGAACAGAGCTTAGGAGAGTCCTCCACTTTAGACTTTAAGTGGAGTCTCACTTGACTGTGTCAGGACTGGGCTTTGAGGTGTTGGAGGCTGCTTACTGTGAGAATCAAAGCCCATAGCTTAGGAAGGCATGCTTCCTGAGACATGTGCTTATGATGTCATAGGTCAGAGAGAAAGGAACCATGGAGATCACAGGAGGTAAAAGCTGTCTTCTTGCAGAGGGAAAAGCCAATGTTCTCAGCAGTGCCTACGTGCGCTGTAGGGGTGGGGCGCACTTTTCCAACAGCCCTAGGATGCTGAGAGCAAGTGAGAGTCCAAGTGAGCTTTCATACAGAAGAGAGAAACATGTATAGAAAATGGGATACATGACTAACAGCAAAGCTTCGTTCTTTTAAAATGACATTTGAAGATGCAAAATGCCATTCTAAATATAGTGGGAATTACTGTCATACTTTGAATCCTTGTTGCTTTCATATTGTTTTATTTTTTGAGTTAAAAGTAACAAAACTTGGTAATGTTATTTAAAAGATGTCTTTGGAGAATGCAAATGGGGCAGAAAGATCAGTTATAAATTTTTAAGGAACTGTATTATACCACTCCAAAAGCCTATGTCAACACAACTTTTTACCTCAAATTCTGCCGCACAGCTTTCCCTGCACTTCCGCAAAGACAGACCTGTTTCCACTTCCTTTTCTAGTGACATGGTACCAGAACAAGGATGCTTTCCTCCCAGGCTCTTTTCATCTCTCAGGGATGCCCAGTGCACAGAGCTGTTGGCAGGCAGTGCCTGACCTCGGCAGGTAAACACCGAGTGTCTTGTGTGCATCCTGCCAGATGCCTGGTCATGAACAAACAGCAAGCTGACCAAGGGCACCACCGAACCTCGGACCACACTCTGTGATCGGGGCTTACTCTTTCCATCCCTCGTTCCTTTTCTCCTCTGTTACATGGTGAGTCTCTGTAGCCAAGTGCCCTGTCCCCCCAACACCACCTGGTTACAGCTCAGGCCATGCCTTGCCCTCACCCAGAAGAGGTGTGGTCACAAAACTTCAAGGTTGCACAGGTTAGAGACACACTCCTTTGGGCTCCCCACTCATGTTCTATCAGCTAAAGCCAGGCTGGCCTTCCCCTACAGAGACAATTTGGAATGCATGATTGGGAGCATCTGCCTCCTCATTGGTGCCATCTCAGCTATTCCTTTTCTATTGCCAGGACTGATTTCAGATTTAACCTCAGGAACAGGGGAGCAGGCAACAGGGAGCATCCACCATCCCTGAAGAGACCACCATGCCTCAGGGATAGGGAAGGGAGCTATATAAGTAGATCCACTGGGACTCCAGACAGGGCCTGCTTGCACAATGGCAGAGGCCAAATGCACCACAGATTAATGCCTTGCTCCTTGCTTCCAGTCACTGCAGCTGGTGCCCTGCTGCCAGCTGCAGGAGGACCCACAGGAGCCTTCCTTCAGCCACTACTAACAGCAGGAGGCAGCTGAGAAGCATGCAGCAGCCAGGGGAGATGCACGGGATCTGTGCCCCTCCACTGTGCTCCCTGCAGAGTGGGGCAGGCAGCCATGGAGCAGGGTGTTCCACAGTCCCTGGCAGCATAGCCCAGATGGGCTCTCACCTGTGCTGGTGCTGATGTTCTCAGTGCCCACTGTCTGCCCCATGAGGTGGTACTGGTTGAGTCTGGAGCCATCTTCTGCTACCACCACAGACTTGGTGGACCCATTGGTCCACACATAGACGACTTCAGAATTAGGGTATGCATCTGCAGGGGGAGGGAAGAAAGTGCCATTAACATAGAACATTCCCTGAAGCTGTGATCTTGGCAAGTCACTTGCATACTCTGTCATGGCCCTTCATCTGTAGAACCCTCGGGGTGATAACAGGCCCTGTGTCTTAGGTTTAAAGACTCTTACACAGTGATGCAGAGCTGTGACACACCAATCCTATTACTACTCCAAATCTTTCCTCTGTGCTGTTAGTGGTGGGGCAGGCAGCACCTCTCCAGCTGGTGTCAAAAAGCCAACTGGTAAAAGACACTGTGCAGATGGAATCAAGGTGATGACCTAAAAATCTGGAGATTATCTCAGATTATCTCTGAGGGCCAGTCCAATCACAAAACAGAGCTTTCTCAGCTAGGAGCCAGGCACAGATTTACAGATGAAGCAAGGAGTCAGCCAGCCACTGGATCTGAAGATGGAGGCAGAGAGCCCAGAGTCAAAAAAGAGAAAATGAGCCCCAGGCTGAAACCAGCAAGGAGACAAAGCCCTTCAGCCACAGCCGCCACCACACAGAACTAAATCCTGCCCCACCTCAAGAGCCTGGAAGTCCACTAGCCTCAGAACCTCCAGAAAAGAGCACCATGATTCTGGCCTTGTGAGACATGGAGTCACCAGCCCCTGATCCCAAGCCCCACTTTTATAGAGCCAGGAGCAACACAGGTATCATTTTAATTTGCTGGGTTTGTGATAGTTTATCATACATGCAGTAGAAGATTAGGATAGGCAGGATGGAGAGAAAACACTAGTCCTTCTCCTTAAGAAATGTATTTTATGGAGGACAACAATAGCTATTACATGAGAAATGTATAGTATGTAAAATGGTTGTGCTAGCCCAGGAGCTCTGAAGAAAGTGGCATTTTAGATGAGGCTTTATTTACAAGATCTATGGAATATTCAGGAGTCTCCATGTGTCCCTCAGGAGAAATGAAGCTACAGATGTCAAGGTCCTGCAGGATCATACCCAAGGTGCCTAAGGACAAGCCAGGCATGCAACGAAGAGGGAAGGAAGAAAAACGAGTCTCAGTGCTATTCTAAGGCATTAAATTTGTACCTAAGTCAGGTAGACCCTAAACAAGAGGGCTCAGAACAAGTATGTGACCTGTTCTAATTTAACCAATAAGAGGATCTGTCTGCCTGGGTGAGACAGAATAAAATGTAGGTGGGAAGGGACAGGAAAGGACAGGCAACATTAAAATCATCTTGCTGAGAGACAATGGTGGTCAGCAGTGGAGAGAAGAGAAATGATGGATGCAGTTTATTAAAGCTTATCTAATCAATGTGATAAAGGGGAAATGCAGTTGTTTCTACTGAGTAAAACAGCGAGGTCCCAGGGGCCCTGGTGAAAGAGCAGCAGTCCAGGGCCTCTGTGTTGGGGGCAGAACCCTGGGAAGAGAAGGTATGCTCGGGGCGCTGGGCAGACAGGGTGCACACAAGCTCAGAGTTCCCAAATATGGTAGTGGTATGCCCAAGGCATAGGCTAAGGGGTCACCTATGCCCTCCCATGGCACTGCAGGGTCTAGAATTTGACCAGATGAGGGGTAACAGCAGCAAATTGCCACCACAGTGGGAGAGTACAAGCTGTAGACGGCGGCTGAGGGAGGGATGCCTAAGGCCCCAGAACTGCATTAGCATCTCCTTTGGAGCTTGGGTATCTGAGCTGTCCTCCAGCCTCTGCAGTCAAGCCAGCATACCTGCCCCAAAGCTCAACCAGAGATCTTGATAAATGTTCCATGTGGCTAAGGGAGCTGCAACACCATGAGAGCAAAGCTGCATGCTTCCAGTCCCAATGACAGATTAAACATCTGTGTGCCTTTGTGGGAGAGAAATCCGCAGTGCCTCAGCAGCTGGAGGATGCACTACAGAGATGGGCTACAGTACAGGGACAGCCTCCCAGCAAAGGGGCCAACCCACACCACCCAGAGTGCCTGGAGCAGCCATTCTTGGGTCTCACATGCAAAGCACAGCAGAGATAAGCCAGAATAGTCTGGTGAATGACTGCTTGTTACTGCAAAGCACTGTCTTCTTTATAAACTACTGCTACTCTGATTTTTATTCTGGACACAAACAAATATTCATAGTTGTGAAAAATACCAAGATAAAATGTATTGGCAAACATGAAGCTTTATATTCTGGGCATGTATTGCTTTTTGACATTGCCCCCCATCCTCACTTTTTTACAAAACATTTTTTATTGTTCAAGAATGTCATAAATATATATATATATATTTTATCAAATCCATCCCCCATTCCCTGTCTTTCAACTTACCTCCATTCACCCCACCACTTTTCCCTCCCAACTTCATGTGTTCTTTTTTAAAAAACCCACTAAATCCATGTAGTACTCCCTGTGTGTAGGACCATCTACTGATGCATGGGTAGCCTCTCAGGGGCCACATCCCTGAAGTAAAATGACCGTCCCTCTCCCAGAAGCCATCAGTTGGTAACAGCTCATCAACAAAGGGTGAGACCTTATGAGGCCCTCCCCAGTCCATGCTGAGGTTTGGCTAGCTTGATCTTGCAGACATCTCGTATATGCAGTCATAGTCATTGTAAATTCATGTGCACAATAGACCGGTCATGTCCAGAAAAACAGTGTTTCCTTGTAGTCATCCAGTACCTGTGGATTTTATGATCTTTTCATCCCCTCTTCCACAATGATCCCTGAGTCTTGGGAAGAGGAGGTGTAACAAAGATGTCTCATTCAGTACTAAGCACGCCAGAATTTTATTCTCTGCACACTAACCAATTTTGGCTCTTTGTGTTAATCCCTATCTACCCAAAAAGAGGCTTTTATGATAAGAGTTGAGAGATGCACTAATCTGTGAATACAAAGATTAGTTCTTAGAGGGCAGTTTAATTACCATGTAGACTTAGCAGAATAAGTATAAGGTTTTCCCCTAGAGTCTATGACCCAGCCAGCCATAGGATTTGGCCAGGTTAATAGTACCAGATAGGAATTCTAGTGGAGCAAGCCTTAAAGCCAATCCAAAATGTAGTTTGTTACTGCCATAATACTTGTACCACTATTGCACCAGTGACCATAATGTGCCAGGCCAGTAGTTATTATAGCTTGCATGGTTCATGGCTGGGTAAGATTGTTGGTATTTTTTCTCCTTCAGTAGCATGCATAGCATCTACCAGGACTATGAAAGTTCACCAAAAGGAATGAAGTTTCTAATGGCACCAGATTGATTTCTCCATGTAAACATTCAGGTTCATGTGGTATCTTCAGCAATAGGGTCTTACTATCAAGTTCTGGGGTAATTGAGCAATGGAAATCACATGTAATATTTAAAGGGTCTATGAGACACCATTGGCTAAGAATTTGAAAAGAGGTAACCCAATCCTGGCCCTGGGCTTTTTGCTTGGTAGTCCATGTCTCTAGTGAGGTTAACACCACTTAAACTCCTTTTATATATATGTGTGTGTATACATTTTTGGAAGCCTCTACAGTAGTAGGTTTCCATAGGGCTTTTTCAAAGAACTTAAGTGTTGTTTATCCTTCTCCATACTCCCTCCTCAACTCTGCCCACCTATCACACACCCCAACTTATCCATTCCTCATCCATCATTTCCATTTGCTGCTTCACACTCCTTCTATTCTGACCCCAATCCTTGAAATCCCCATCCCAAGGCCCCTAACTAGTTTCCTGCCTTTTATGGCTACTCCAACTTAGACACACATATCTAAAGATTCAGACATATGGAAAGATTCCAATCTAGCATCCACACATGTGAGAAAACATGTGCTGTTTGCCGTGCTTGGTCTGGTTTACCTCACACAGAATGACAGTTGACAGCTTTGTTTACCTGAAAATTCCATTGTGTAAATGTACCACACTGTGTATTCATCAGTTGATGGACATCTAGGCTGTTTCAGTTTCCTAGTTATTGTGAATAGGGCAGCAAGGAACATGGATGGGTAGCCCTTTGGGAATACACCTGGATATATATATAGTGTGTGTGTGTGTGTGTGTGTGTGTGTGTGTGTGTGTGTGTGATCATATGGTAGATCTATTTCTGGCTGTTTGAAGAACCTCCACACTGATTTTCATACTGAGTAAATGTTCTGCTTTCCCACATGCATGCCAGAATTTGTTGTCATTCACTTTTTTTGATCTTAGCCATTCTGACTGGAGTAAGATGAAACTGAATAAATTTTTATTTCTTGGAAAGCAAAATATATTGAAAATTTAAAAAAGAAAAAAGAAAAATATATATATGCCATTTGTATGTCTTCCTTTGAGGACTCTGTTTAGTTCCATGCCACATTTTCTCATTGGGTTGTTTGTGTTCTTGGTGTTTAGTTTTTTAATTTTTTTTTGTATAAACAGTAACCTTCTGTTAGATTTATACAGCTAGTAAAAAGCTTTTCCAATTATGTGAGTGGCCTCTTCCCTGCAATGATGGTGTTCTTTTTTTGTACAGAAGCTTTTTTTGTTTTATGAGAGCCCAGTTCTCAATTGTTTATCTTAATCCCTGTACTACCAGAATCCTATTCAGAAATTTCTTACCTATGCAGCCCCCCCTTTTAGAAAAAATTAGGTTTTTTGAAACAGAGTCTCCCATAACCCATGCTGGCCTATAAGTTGAAACTTATTACCTATTTTCTCCTCTAACAGATTCAGGATATCAAATCTTATGTGGAGATCCTTGATCTATTTGGAGTTGTTTCTTTCCTGCAGGGTGAGATAAGGATCTAGTTTCTTTCTTCTACATGTAGCTATACAATTTGACTAACATGATTTGTTGAATGCTATATTTTTTCCCACGTGTATTTTTGGCTTGTCAAAAATCAGGTGGCTGTGGGAGAATGGGCTTATATTTGGGCCCTTAATTCTATTCCATTGATCAATGTGTCTGCTTATATGCCAGTACCATGCTGTTTGTATTATTTTAACTCTGTGATAGCACTTGAAATCAAGAATGGTGATACCTCCAGCAGTGTTTTTATTATTCATATTTGTTTTAGCTATCCTTGTTC